CTAAATTAAAATAGTTTAAAATCATACGTCACAATATATAAAGAAATAAAGAAAACTCAATTTTGATTCAACTATTCTTCAACTTAAATTGAAAACATCGAAATTCTCAGCATTATTTGAAAATATTTTAACGAATTATATCTTTTGCTTTCAGAAAACGTTATGATATTTGCCAGAGAAGTGCGAGTCTACATTGAAAGTACCCCCACTATGCTTCTTCTCCTCTACTTCATTAGGTCTTTTGTGACAGAGTGTTTGTCAAACCGGTTGTGGGGGAACGAATGGAGGAGAGGAGAAGAAGCATAGTGGGGGTACTTTCAATGTAGACTCGCACTTCTCTGGCAAATATCATAACGTTTTCTGAAAGCAAAAGATATAATTCGTTAAAATATTTTCAAATAATGCTGAGAATTTCGATGTTTTCAATTTAAGTTGAAGAATAGTTGAATCAAAATTGAGTTTTCTTTATTTCTTTATATATATTGATGCTAACTTAATGCACAATAGTTTGAGTATTCTTCTTAGAGAGTTAATGAAATGCGTTTCGTTTGTAATGTTTAGTTAAAGTTAAGTTTCAATTGATTCTTTTATATTTTTTTCAAAGTATTTTGTATATATATATATATCCCAGTGGGCACAGGGACGTCTAAAAGACGTCTTTTTTTGTCCGCGGACGATTCGGGGACAATGATGGCAATGTCTCTGAGTCATCAAAAAGACAACTAAAAGACGTCTAAAAGACGTTCTATGTCTGGTCCAAAAGACGTCCAAAAGACGTCTAAAAGACATAAAAAAGGACGTCTAAAGTACTTCTAAAAGACGTCTTTTGGACGTCTAAAAGACATAAAAGGGACGTCTAAAAGACGTATTTTGGACGTCCTTTTTACATTCCTTCAGATCTTAAATAAACATTTCTTTTATAACATTTTCTAAGTTGAAATTCAGTAATATTGTATTAAATTTATTTTAAGTTTAATTTTATTTTTTCTAAAATGTGGAGAAATAATGAAAAAATTCCGACGAAGCTGGGATCGAACTCGGATACCTTGGGCTTGAAACACTGCGCCTTAAGCACCTCAGCCGTTCAAGACAGATATGAACCTCTACAAAGTTAACGATCTCACTTGTCAATGAAATGAATTTAACTTAGAAAAATTCCAATGAATTTCACATTCATAAATTTCTAAGTCCAAGTTGAACTTAGGAAATAATATTTTCTATTTATGAAAATTTTTCTATTTTCAAATGTTGAATGGAAAAGACGTCTTTTAGACACTTTAAAGACATCTAATAGCCAAGACATATAACATGAATAGGACGTCTTAAAGACGTCTTTTTGTACAAGTCCAAAAGACGTCCGCAAAAAGACATCCTTTGGACGTCTTTTGAACAAGTGTGCCCACTGGGATATATATATATATATACGTCATTATTTAGAGTAACGTACTATTTAATACGTTTTTATTGCTTTTGTATATAATTATTTATGTCTATTGTGTTCATTGCAGGGACCGGCACGGACACTAAAAAACACGAAAATATGTGCCGTGTCCGTGCCGTGCCAAGGCCCGGCACGAAGTTCGCTATGTAATTCGTGCCGTGCCAAGGCACGGCACGAAGTTCGCTTGGTAATTCGTGTCGTGCCAAGGCACGGCACGAAGTTCGCTTGGTAATTCGTGTCGTGCCAAGGCACGGCACGACATAATTGGTTATTTAGCATGTTATTCGTGTCGAACAGAAAAAAATATCAACCTCCCCTCCACGACTATTACATAACATTCAAAGGGGAATAATACATAGAAATGCAAAAAAATTGTCCATAAATTACGTCACATTCAAAAAGGGATGAGGTAAGGGCTCAAGTAATTTGTGGCACCCTGCAAATAAAATGGCGCTAATGTATACAACATTGTATGACATGGGGTGAGGGCTATAAATAAATAAAATGGCGAAAAGTTTTGTGATTATTTATGCGCAGTAGTATAATTTAATAGTTATACATGCGCAGTAATGCAATTTAGTAGTTACACATGCGCAATAGTGCAATTTAGTAATTACACATGCGCAGTAGTGCAATTTAGTAGTTGATCATGCGCAGTAGTATAATTTAGTAGTTACACATGCGCAGTAGTACAATTTAGAAGTTAATCATGCGCAGTAGTGCAATTTAGTAGTTAAACCTGCGCAGTAGTATAATTTAATAGTTATACATGCGCAGTAATGCAATTTAGTAGTTACACATGCGCAATAGTGCAATTTAGTAATTACACATGCGCAGTAGTGCAATTTAGTAGTTGATCATGCGCAGTAGTATAATTTAGTAGTTACACATGCGCAGTAGTACAATTTAGAAGTTAATCATGCGCAGTAGTGCAATTTAGTAGTTAAACCTGCGCAGTAGTATAATTTAGTAGTTACACATGCGCAGTAGTACAATTTAGAAGTTAATCATGCGCAGTAGTGCAATTTAGTAGTTAAACCTGCGCAGTAGTATAATTTAGTAGTTACACATGCGCAGTAGTACAATTTAGAAGTTAATCATGCGCAGTAGTGCAATTTAGTTGTTAAACCTGCGCAGTAGTATAATTTAGTAGTTACACATGCGCAGTAGTACACTTTAGAAGTTAATCATGCGCAGTAGTGCAATTTAGTAGTTACACATGCGCAGTAATGCAATTTAGTAGTTATACATGCGCAGTAATGCAATTTAGTAGTTACACATGCGCAGTAGTACAATTTAGAAGTTAATCATGCGCAGTAGTGTAATTTAGTAGTTACACATGCGCAGTACTACAATTTAGTAATTAATCATGCGCAGTAATGTAGCATACTATTTATATATGCGCAGTAATGTAGTATGATATTTACATATGCGCAGAAATGCAATTTAGTGGTCACACATGCGCAGCTGTGTGAATTTCTAGTTATAACTTGATTAAATACAGATGAATCTGCTAACGGAAAAAGGAAATAACCATTATTACACAGAAAAAAGTCTTGAATAAAGTCTACAAACGAGCTATTTTTAAGATGCAACAAAAAGTTGTCTTCCTAAACATAAAATTATTTTGAAAAAAGAGTCTTAAAAAAAGCTTGTACGAAGGCTTGCATGAAGTCGCAATGTTATCTTAAAAACAGTAGCTGATAACCAAAAAAAGTGGACTTAAATATATAGTTTCTTTTTAAACTTCAATTTAAATGTGAGTCAAAATAGTGACTAAAATTTAAAATAAAGCTTTCTTTAATACTTGAAAGTAGTAAATAATACAGTTCAAAATTATTTTTTATAACATATAAAATTGTAGCAAATAATTATATTTTATGAAGAAGAAATGTTTAGAAAAACATTTGCATCATAATTTTTGTCAGTTTTACACATCAAGAAAACCTGGTTAATTTGAGTGTTTGACTACTTTTTAACAATTTATTGTATGTAGTTTCAGAAGATGCCAATAACAAACTAATTGAATTATTTATAAAAAAAAGTTAAATTAACTATTTAAAATAATAAAATGAAATTACTTCTTTTTTTATTATTGAGGACCAATTTTTTATCTATTTCCCTGATGACTTTTGTTAACATATACCTTATAATATTTAATTATTATATTTCTGACAGAGAAAAATCTCTTAACGCCGAGGTTCGAACAACAATGAAAACATCTTTTTGATTGAAATAAACTATAAATTGACTATCATAAAATAAATATTTATTTGTTTGAAATAATTTTTATTTAAATCAATTAATAGTCGAATAAAAAATAATAAGTAGTCAAAAAAATTGCGCAAAAATGATTTTCACGATTTTCGACAAATTTTTTGCGCAGTTCAAAGGACTCATAAAAAAATTTTATTCAATAATAAATTATTTTAAAAAAACAAAATTTTGTTTAAAATATAGGTAATAATATAGTAATCTGGAAGCTTTTTACTTCTTTGTAAAGAAATATTTGACATTTTGTTAATAAATGGTATTAATCGAGATTAATAAAAAACTTTTTCTCCGACACTTGCTCTGAAAGGAGTACTTTTCTTGGTAGAAAAGTGTGGCGAAAGTAGAACTTTTCTCAACTGCTCTGTAGAGCGTGGCGAAAGTAAATCATGAATTTATTCTTTTTTCTTGTTCCCCACTCAAAACATTCGTCTTTTATTATATTAAACATAAGCAGACGTTAAATTAAAATTCTACGAAACTCACGAAGAGAAAGCTTTCCTCGCAAGGCGTTGGAGAAAACGTAGTGCACAACTCGTCGTGAAAGAATGATTTTTCTCCACTAGTTGTACAATGTACTATTTTTATCATTATTTTATTTTTAAACTCTCTAAATCTGAATCAGTGAAATTTGACTGAGAATCAGTGACTCTATTCTCGCGATTTGAATCAGTGGATTTTCACTGAAAGTAAGTTAAAAATAACTGAAATTTCAGTCATTTTCCACTGATTCGCTAATTAAAAAACTACTGAAAATTTCAGTTATTTTTACAAGACCATTCAGTGGAAAATGTCTGAAATTTCAATCATTTTTAACTGATCTTCAGTGAAATTTCACTGATACAAATCGCGAGAATAGAGTCACTGATTCTCAGTCAAATTTCACTGATTCAAGTTTTAAAGAGAAAAGTCTTTGAATTTTCTTAAAAAAAATTGTAATTGACAAATAGAAATCAAGCAAATTATTTTTTATTAAACAAAATAGTTTTTATGAAAAATATGATCCGGGTGGCCGCAAGTCTGAAAAAACGGGAAAACAGTGAGAAATTAAAAAATGTTGTTGGTTAGTGAAAAATGAAGAATTTTAATTAAATAAAAAAACAATTTTTTTTCCACTTTTTGTTACAAATTTTAAAAGAAAAATCGAAAAAAATCACATTGTATTAAAGTTTATAAGAGAACAATTAATATCATTATTTTAAATTTTTATTCAATTTTATTTATTATAAATCAAAATAATTTTTAAAATGTTCCTATGTTATTAATCGCTTTTGAAGGATGACTCGCCTTACTCTTCGATAACATTGGGAGTAATATCTGGAAAAATACATTTTTTTATCAGTATGCAAAATTAGAAATTTTAAAATGATTTCTAATTATATATTATTTGAAAAGTAATAATAATTATTGTTTTCTAAATTTAAAGTCGTTAAAGATAAATAAATTCATAATAAGTAACTAATTCAAAAAGTAATATATTTAATAATCAAATTGTTAATAATAATAATTTATTATATAAATTTACTTTTTAAATTTTGTTACAAAAACTAAAAATGACTAACAACTATTTTCTTCTAACCAATTCAAATTTAAAGAGTGCATATAGATTTACCAAAACAATAAAAATACTGAAAAAAACTTCTTACACGTCGCATTTTCAGCAATCTGATTTAATTGATGAAAAATTTGTTCATATTCGCATCTATCGATGAAACTGGCTTCTGGAGCTAAATTCATCTCATTCCATTCGCTTCTAATGTCCTTTGTAAATTTTTTAATTTTTTCATCATTGCGAATGATATTGTAAATTTCATTTTCTGTTGGGGCGCGTAGGTTTTTTAATTGAAATTTATATACCCTCTTATATAAAATACTAGCGCTTTTCATAGAAAGAAAGTCCACCATAGTTGTCCTTATAATTAGCCAGTTAGATATTAAATCATTAATGTTTTCACCTGTAAATTAATAACAAGTTATTTAATATTAAAAGGAATAATCCTCTCCAAATATATTCTCGAAAGAAAAATACTCTTTAAATATGAATTGGCGAAATTTCACTAATTTCCCAGCGATATATTATATATTATTGATTAAATTAGCGTATAATTATATACGCTGTGAATTAGTGAAATTTCACTGATTAATTAGCGTATATACGCTAATTGAATCAGTGATATAATTATCGCTAGGAAATTAGTGAAATTTCGCTAATTCAGATTTAGAGAAATATTACAGTAAAAATGTACTATTTTCTAATTCTTTTGTCGTCCATAAAAACATGAAAATTTTATAAAATTTTTATGTAACAAAACAAAAAATTTAATTAATCTTCGCATTAGCAGGTATTTTGTTTGTACGCAGACTATAAGGGCTACCCGGATCAAAAAAAAAATTAATTTTGTTTTTCTCTGTCTTTCCCTAATTACCAAAAAAAATTTTAACTCTTTTTCTGACACATTGAATAGAATGGTATTGTTAATTTTGATATTTGAGTATGGTTAGAACTTTTGCCTGCAAATAAACATACGGTATTGCTGTTCTTCAAATACAGTATATACAGTGTTCTTTACAACATTTATATTACTGCCTTTCACATACATAGGGTTTGTTTACACTGCGTATGTCTAAAACAGCAATACTGTATGGCTATACTACATCCACTAACAGAATATGTGAGAATTAGTCATAATTATGGCAGTAAGAAAAATACATTTTTTTCAGTGCACTTAAAAAATGATTAGATAGTTACATATCTTTATATTGAAATAATTAAATTATCTTAGATTTTTATAAGAATAATTAATTTGAAAATTTGAAAATTTTATTTGTTGTAAAATCTAATGATATTTAAATTTTTATTTAAAAAAATTTTTATATATATATATTAATTGTATTTTTGGGAAAAATTTTAATTTACATAAAGATAATTGAATTATGTCGAAGAATTGCGTTAAAATTATTGAAATAATATTAAATGTATATTAAAAAATTCAACACAATTGAAATTAAAATTTAAAAAAAAAATTAGTTCATTCAGTAATTTATAAGTAATAATTTTATCATAGTTTTTCAGGAAATTTATCTATTGAAAATAAATTATTGTTAGAAATAGAAAAATTTAAGGTTTTCTTTCAAAATTCATGGTAATTTTATAGTTTATGAATCAAACAAAAAGACACTTAAATTCATAATTTCTTATAAATTCTAAACATTTTATTCTTTTTCCAACACTTTTAATAAAAATCCCTGACCACTCTTACATTCCCTGACTTTTCCCTAAATTTTCTAATTCCCTGCATAATGCTTTTAAATTTTTCGAAGGAAATAAGTATTTAGATTAGTGACTCAAAATGTGCCATTAAATTGGTGCAAAGTTAGAGTAAATATTACAATAATGATTAATATTATTGGCAACCATGGGTAGTCCTTGGTAGTGCAAAGATTAAAGAGAAAAAATTTTTTCTATAGTGTTCTATAAAAAAAATTTTTTTTTGAAATAAATTTTAAATAGTTTTTTAAATTGTTAATTTAAAAAAATTTAATAAAAATAGTTATCAACATAAATATATCAATAAATTGGTTTAAAAGAAAGATGAGACAGTGTTATTTGTTTATAAAAATTGTGATTAAAAAATATTAATTATACCTACGTTAAGTTTTCAACTTTTTTTGTAAGGTATCACATCCCCTAAACGCTTTTCTATAGATTTTTTTTAAATTTGACTATCTATTCTTGTAATCATTCTTTGCAAAAATTTTAAGAATTTTCACCGCACAGAACCAGAGATATTCGCTATCAATGTTGAGTTTTTTTATATGTAAAGCGTGAGTAATTGTATTAAATTTTTCCTCTGTGTGCCACAAAAAAATAAAGTTTGCATTTATTAACACTCACTATAAATTCTGAGCAGTAAAATTTCAATATAAATTAGTTAAAAATGATTGAAATTTCAGTCATTTTCCACTGATTTTTGACAATTAAAAAACTACACTTATGCAACTCAGAGTTATAATATGGTCACTTTATCTACCTGTACAGGCGCCTACCAAGTTCCCACTTATAACCCAGCTGATCAATAAAGTGCCCATTATTGCTCTAGGGCAATAAAGTGTTCTTTATTGATCGCGCTCACAAGTCAATAAAGTACTCATTACTATCCTAAGGGAAATAATGGACACTTTATTGATCAGCTGGGTTATATGGAGAAACTTAGCATGCACCGGCACAGGTAGCATAGTGACCATAATGTGGCCTTTGTTGCATAATGTACTATTATGTCAGAGCTGACTAAATTATTTATTTTAAATAAAAATTTTGTTTGTCATAAAATATATTATTATTTTAATTTTGAAGACTTGAAACAAATAAAAAAGTTTTTAAAAAGAATGGTGAAAAAATAGTTGGCTATGAGTTAAGTTATATTAGAAATATATTTTTTTTCAGTATCTACTTACAGTTTGAAAATCTGCTTAGACAGTGTGGACCTGTTATCATTTTAAATTCCTCTTTGGTGTAATGCTGCTTCGACAATGTAATATCTAAATTTTAATTGTAAAATTAATTCAGGTATAAAATTTTAATTGCAATTTAATATTGTGTGATACACTGAAATAAATGTATTTATTTATTACAATGATTATGACTTCTTCATATTATAATATATGAAGAACACCAATATTGTATGTTTAATTTAACTGAACTTGTAATCGAACTCGTATGTCAGGATTAACAATATCATTTCTTTCAGTGTACATAAAATGTTACGTAAACTATACATACCTATAGTGTACTTATAGAATTTTATACCTTGCTTAAAGGCCTCATGAAAAGGTGTTTTTGCCGTCATTTTTTCGACAATACTAAAGAAAGTATGCACTCGCTGCTTGATCACTAAACGTGGGATGTTTATGTTTACCTCTTTTGCTAGCGACAAGGTAAAGGGTGTAAAGGGGGTTCCTTCGAGTTAACCACTGTAATATTTTATAGTGTTTTTTTTAAACTAAAAGTATTGAATTCTCATGAACAAATTAATAATAATAATAATAATAAAATATTTTGCCATGAATTTTATTAAATTTTTTAAAAATAATTGAATCTCGACAAAAAATATAGCATCGACAATTATTTTTAATTTTTTATTAATTTATTTTTTAATTAACTTTTTAATTTAATTAATTTAGCGGCTAAACTATTTGGCGTAGAGAGCTCCAACAGGGTTGTTACAAAATTTTAATTTTGTTTTTCCCTGACTTTTCCCTAATTATTTTTCTATAGGAATTAATTGTATTGCTTCCAATTGTTTCGAAGATTATTACAAACATTTTTGACAATAATTGTAATCTATGAACAATTTTATATTAATTTTTCAAATTTATAAATCATTTTATCAAAATTGTTTTAAATAATTGTATTATTTGTGAAAATAATTGAATTCTTAAAAATAATTGAATTTTATTAAAATTCCAATTTTATTAACTAAATCTTGTAAAGAATTTTGTCAAAAATTTTTTAAATGATTGAATTTTTAAAACAATTTTATTTTAATTTTTCGAAATAATTGGATTTGTTAGAACTATTTTTTTCAATTCTCTGAATTTATTTTAATTCTTTCCAGAAACTTGATTAAAAAATTTAAAATAATTGAATTGGTGCGAAGAAAATTATAAAAAATTGATAAGAAATTGAATTCCTGTGAAATTTTTATTCCAATTTTGGGGCCATTCAAGTACCCAATAGGAAATGCCAGTGTAGTGCCGTTGTTCACCACTGGCTTAGTACTCAGACGATTGTTCGGCGTAGTCTAGCCAAGCCTCGACAATTAGTGCTGGCGCAGTACAGAATTTTTGTTTCGCCAAAGCTTGGACAAGCCACGACGGCAAGTGCTGGCTGAGTATAGAAAAATTGTTCACAACGCTCTTTGCCAACACTGCTTTTTTGACATAAACTTGAAAAAAATTATAAAAAAAGTTTATAAATGTTTATAAATATAAATTTATTGAAAAAAATTAATATTTCACTTTTCAGTTGTTCATTTTTGATTCTTATTAAATTTAATAATAACAATTTAACACAATTGTCTAATTTTGTAAATAATAAATTATTTAAACAAATTAAAATTATAAACAAAATTTAAACTTTAATCTCAATAATAATTTGGTTCCTATTAAAATACTATTATACTTCTTACTATGAATAAAAAATTATTAAAAAATTACCACGTAATTTAAGAATTACGTAAAATGTTAAATGCAATAAGTAATTTAATTTAATTATTAAAAATTTAGTTTAATTTATTTTATTTCAATTTATTATTTCTGAATGATACTGAGATATTAATACTCTACTGTACACATGTGTCGTTAGCATAGTGGTTAGAGCGTTAGTCTGTTAGTCCGTAGGTCGTAGGTTCGATTCTCCTCGTCAGTAATTTTGTTTATTTTCATAGGTTTGCGATATTTCTAGATTCCAGTCGTTAGGTACTAAAATATAAAAATCTAATGCACACTTACTGTAATTGTTTATTATTTAATTTTTAAATGTTATAAACAATTTTTTTCTACTTCATTTACTATATCCATTGTTAGTCTTCATCTTTAATACAATTTCTTTAAGAAGAGAAATATTTTATGAATAATAACTATTTATTAATATTATTTACCATTTTGTTGTTAAATTATTTATAATTATTAATTTACGACTAATTAATAACAATACGGCATTTATTGCGGCAATATTCTCAGCCAGCACTGGTCCAGTGCTGCGCCAGCGCTGTCTGGCAGCACTGACAGACAGTACTTCGGCAGCGCCAGACGGCGTTATCATCCCAGTGCCATGCCAGTGCTGGCGCAGTACTACGCCAGTTGTAAATTTCCCATTGTGTATTACGTAAGCATATTTTTCAGCTTTTTAGACCCCCCCTCCCCCATCGTAAGATTTTTTATACGCATTTGCACCATTTTTTCTAATGGAAATAAGCAATAGCTCGACTCTCCCCACCCCCTTAAATGCTTACGTAATACTTGAATGGTTCCTTTATTTAAATAATTGAATTCTTTTGGTAAATTTTAATAATTGAAATGAGGTGAATCTTTTAAAATAATTGAAATTTTACAACAAATTTTATCAAATTTTTTTTAAATAATTGAATTTTTTATAAGAATTTTATTATTTTATTTATTATTTTATTTATAATTATTATTTATATTATATTTATACTTTTTAAAACTTTTGAACATAATAATTTCTATTTAAATTCATTAAAAATTAATACCTGATTTTTCTGACTAATTCTAATTTCCCTGACATGTGGCAACCCTGTCCAATTTTGTACAGATATGTATTTTCACAGGTAGATTACAGAAAATATACTTGTCAAGAAATTTGTACGATTTCTTTACAAAAATGCATAAAAAGTGACCATCTCTCCCCCCCCTTTAACTTGTAAACTATTCAACACGGAGTGCTACAATTTGGCATAATGGTGTGTTACTTACTTACGTAAGTAAGTTATTTACTTACGTAAGTATCGTAGTTAACGTAAGTAGTGTAACTTACAAAACTGGATAATCTACGTAACTTGCGTAACTTACGTAAATAATTCACCAATGGTCACAAATAAGAAATGGTGTACTTTCGGTTCGTGTGTTAATTTTTTTTCTTTTTTGTACAATATTCTTTAAAGTTTTCAAATTTTGTTAATTAAAAATTAATTTTACAAAATTTGAATTAATTAATTTCGCAGAGTGATTTTTTCACTATAATAATTTTTTTTGAATGAATTATATTTCGCGAATAATATTTTTTCTGTGCCTTATGTGTTTGTGTTTACATATGAGTTGTCTCTATGTATGTACTGTGTGTACTATACTCTGTGCAGTGGAGGAAATTCCTAGAAAAAGTACGAAGCAATAGGTGAGGGAAAAATTCTGCGAATTTCTTTGTGGCGAAAATTTGAAAACTGAGGAAAACATTATGTGAGCTCATTAGTATTTGGCTTCGCGAAGAGTCAACATCTTCGGATCAGTGTCTCTGATTTTTCTATTTAGAATATATTTCTTTTTTTTTAAAATGTCAAGTGCAAGTGCAAGTGATACAGTGCAAGACAAAGTGAGGAAGAAGCCACAACCGCGGTCGCTGGTGCACTCTTTCTTCAACTTTGATGAGGAACATGATTGTTACAAGTGCACAATCAATAACTGCAAGACGACATTTAAAGTAAGTTAAATATTTATTTAAAAAAAAAGTTATTGATGTTTTCGAATAATTTTACAATTAAAGAAATTTTTTTTTTTATATAACCTTTAATATATATTTCTATATTTCTTTAATCTTCTTTTTATATTTTTATTTTTTTTATATTTTATTATTTATTTTTATTATTTTTATTATTTTATTTTTTTATTTTTTTAATTATTTTTATTTTTTTTTATTTTTTTTATTATTTATTTTTATTATTTTTTTATATTTTATACTTTATTTTTATTTTATTACTATTTTTGAACATAAATAAAATTCTTTCTTTTAGTGTTAAATAAAATTTTTCTATATAAATCCATTATTTTTAATAATTTTTGGAAAAGTTTTTGTGTATTTTCAAATTAATTTGTTTTTAACTGAAATTTATTTTTAAATTAAGTTTTATTAGAAAATTATATTAGAATTCAATTTTATTATATTATAATAATTAACAATTGAATGTTTGTTAATATTCAATTCTCATAAAGAATTTTATCAACAAATTTTTAAACAATTGAATTCTTTCGACATTTTTTAATAAAATTTTTGAGAAGAATTACATTTTTCTTGAAATTCGATTAAAACTGTATTGAAAATAATTGAAATTCTGCATTGAGTTTTATTATTCATGAAAATTATTAAATCCCTGAAAGGAATTTTAAAATTCATTAAAATAATTCGATTAGTGCAATGACTTTAATGTCAAATTTTTAAACATTTCTTTTTTTTAAATTTATGTTTTTAAAGTGAATTCTCATAAAGTATTTTATCAACAAATTTTTAAATAATTGAATTTATTTGAGTAGTTTTAATAAAATTTTTAATAATAATTACATTTATATTTATTTATTTATTTTTAGGAATTAAATTGCTAAAAAGTGTTTTATTATTTAGAAAAATAATTGAATTCCATTAAAAGTTTTATTATTTTTTTAAAAATAATTTAATTATATTGCGAAGAAGTTTATAGAAATTTTGCAAGTAATTGAATTCTTGTGAAATTTTTATTATTTTAAAAAAATAATTTATTGTTTGCGTAGAATTTTATTCCATGTTTTTTAAATAATTTAATTCTTTTGGAAAATTTTATTAATATAATGATATAAAAATTATTATTTTACGAAATTTATATTCTTTCTAATTAAAAATCACTATAGAACTTTTTCAGGGGGGGGGGGTAGTGGGAGTTTTTAATTTTACGTACAATTTTACGTACAACGTTTGTTTACGTAATTCGAAAACAAACGATCACATTCTTAAAAAAATTTTTAGTAAACACAAGGGAAAATGTATTTTTTGAGTTTTCGTTGTTAAATGCAAAATATTTCCAAACATCACAATAATTAGTTAAAATCGTACGTATTATTTAATTATATTTTGTCATAATATTATAGGTGAATATGTGTATATATGTATAAAAGTCCAGTTGATAATAAAATTTGTTTATGTTTTTATTTTTTTTTATACAAATTGTGTCCTGTAATTGTGTCTCTGACCAAAAAAAATTGTTTTAGACACTTTACAAAATTGACAAGAATTCCATTCTATATTGAATTTAAAAAAGTTTTAAAAACAATTAAATTTTACAAAGAATTCTATTAAAATTCTTGAGAATATTTGAATGTTTATGTGGCATTTTATTAAATTTTTTTGAAAATAATTAAATTCATAAGAAAAGCATTTTATTATTTATAAAGAT